GATTCTATGGGTAAAATACTGAATGATGCAGGAAACATCAAAATAAGATGGAAGGAATACACAGAGTCACTGTACCAAAAAGAATTGGCCGATGTTCCTATATTTCAGGAAGTGGCATGTGATCAAGAATCAATGCTTTTGAAGGAAGAAGTTGAAGTTGCACTGAAAGAATTAGCAAACAGCAAGGCTCCAGGAATTGACAGAATGCCCATTGAGATGTTTCAACAAATGGATGTCATGCTGGAGGCAGTTATTCATCTATCTATGTCAAGAAATTTGGAAGACAGTTACCAGCCAACTGACCGGAAGAGATCCACATTTGTACCCATTCCAAAGAAAGATGATCGCACAGAATGTGGAAATTATCAAACAATATCATTAATATCACATGCAAGGAAACTTTTGCTGAAGACAATTCAAAAATGGTTGCAGCAATATATTGACAGGGAACTTCCAGAAATGCAAGCTGGATTCAGAAGAGGACGTGAAATGAGGGATATCATTGCTGATGTCAGCTGGATCTTGGCTGAAAGCAAAGAATGCCAACAAGATGTTTACTTGTGTTTTATTGACTATGCAAAAGCATTCAACTGTGTGGATCATAACAAATTATGGTTACAATTGAGAAGAATGGGAATTCCTGAACACTTAATTATACTCATGAGAAACCTGTACAAAGACCAGGAGGCTGTTGTTTGAACAGAACAAAGTGATGCTGCATCGTTTGAAATCAGGAAGGAGTGTGTCCTTTCACACAAAGTTGTTTCCTTTCACCATGCTTATTCAATCTGTATGCTGTGCAAATAATCTGAGAAGCTGGACTATATGAAGAAGAATGTGGCACCAGGATTGGAGGAAGAATCATTAACAACCTGAGATACACTGATTACACCACTTTCCTTGCTGAAAATGAGGATGACTTGAAGCACTTACTGATGAAGATTAAAGACTGCAGTCTGCAGCATGGATTACACCTTAACATAAAGAAACAAAAATCCTCACAACTGGACCAGTAAGCAACCTCACATTAAATGGAGAAAAGATTGAAGTTGTCAAAGATTTCATATTACTTGGTTCTACAATCAACACCAATGGAAGTAGCAGTCAATAAATCAGATGAAATATTGCACTGGGCAAATCTGCTGCAAAACACCTCCTTAAAGTGCTGAAGATTCTGACTCATAGCGACCCTCATTAGGTTTCTGAGGTGGTAAATCCTTACAGAAGTAGATTGGCAGTCTTGCTTCCAAGGAGTGGCTGGTGGGTTTGAACCAACAACATTCTGGTTAGCAGTCAGATGCCTTAGTCACTGTGCTACCAGAGCCCTAATTCAAAGGTGTGACCCTTTTGGGGTCTCTATGATTGTTCTGAGGCACCTTTACTCTGAGTCCTTGGAATTTCAATGCCTCCCAGCCTGTAGAAGCTCCAGGAATTGCTCAGCTGTAAGCTGCCTAGCAGTTATTCTTTGGTCAGCTTTGTGGAATTTTGCTTTCTGCATGACAAGATTGTTACTCAGCTAGACACTCTGGGAACACCCATTCAGATTTCTGGAGATATATTTACATATTTCCCTTCTGTCTTGTACTCTGCTCTACAAATTCAACCACCTCAGCTGCCCCAAATACTGATCTCTGTCTCCTCAATTTATGAGGTTGCCATTCTTACTTGGGTTCCAGGCAGGAAGCCAGGGCATCATTGAATTTCCTTTGTTAGTTTTCCCTTTCTCAGGGATATGAACTGCCTATTGTTCCAATAAGAGCTCTGGTAGCATAGTGCCTAAGGCACTTTACTGCTAACCAGAAGGCTGGCAGTTCAAATCCACCAACCACTCCTCGGAAGGAAGGTTGGGCAATCTACTTCCATAGTGATACTGCTTCGGAAACCCAAAGAGGGGTCGCTATGAGTCAGGTCCTATTCGACGGCACATAACAACAACAACATTGTTCCAACATCTGAAAAATAGCTGCTTCACATATGGCGCCCAACTTCTTGTTTTGTTGTTATAAATGTTGTTTGTTTGCTTTCTGGTGTAAAAGCAAGTTTTCTACTTTTTTTTATTGTTGTTGTGATTTGGGTGAAAGTTTACAGAGCAAATTGGTTTTCATTCAACAATCCATAAACATTCTGTTTGGTGACATTTATTCTCACACTCTAACAGTATTCATCCTACTTCCTCCCTGCACCCAACCCTTTCCTTCATTCTTCCTTTCCATCCCTTCCAGCCTTCCTAGCTCTATCTCTGGGCAAATGCTGTCCTTTTGATCTCATATGCTTGATGGCTCCAGTGAGTGCATACCCTCCTGATTTTACTATTCACCTTATTGGCCTATTGTTTGGCTGACAGTTGAGTTGCAGGAGTTAAGTTCAGTTCCTAGCTTGAAGGTACCTAAGTGCCACAGTTTCAGGGGTTCTACCAGTCTTCATCAGACCAGCACCAAAAAAAACCCCAAACTCACTGTCGTCAAGTCAGGTCTGACTCATAGTGACCCCTCTTTGGGTTTCCAAGGTGGTATCACTACAGAAGTAGATTGCCCAACCTTCCTTCCAAGGAGTGGCTGGTGGGTTTGAACCTCTAGCCTTCTGGTTAGCAGTCAAATGTCTTTTTTATGATTTTTGAGTTTTGTTCCACATTTTCCGCCACCTTATCTGGGACCTCTTATTGTGATCCCTTTCAGACAGGTCAGCAATTGTTCCCCTTGCTCTTTCATGGTCAGAAGCAGAGGCTATAATGTTAAATTTTAATTGGAAATATCATTAAGAAATCATGATATTTTTCCTCTTTACAAAATATGTAAGTTCAAGCAAGTTCTATGCACTGAGATGGCCTAGAAATAATGACAACTCAGTTGTAATGAATATTATGGTGACTAGATCATGATTTCTGAATGCCTTTCCCTCTGCATAGAAGCCATGGCTTCTTGCAGCAATGACTAATCCTAGGTCTGGAAAAAATCTGTATAAGATGAGCCTGGGACACCTTCTTGTGCCAGAAAGCAAGGAAGCTACTGAAGAACAATGGACAAGGAAGCCAAATGAAAGGGCTTGTATTGGCAAAAGATCTTCAGGCATTGGAAAAAAAGGCCAGCAAATTAAAATAAATAAATAAACACACAAGTCTCTCCACACTGAAAATCCACTGCCATTGAATTGATTCCAACCGATAGCAACCCTATAGGAAAGAATAGAACTGTTCCATAGAGCTTCCAAGGCTGTAAATCTTTATGGAAGCAGACTGTCCTCTCTTTCTCTCATGAAGCAGCTGGTGGGTTCAAACTGCCAAACTTTTTGGCAGCAGTCAAATGATTTAACCACACAAGTCCTTACTGATATTCAAATAAAGATACAGTCAAAAATAAAAATAAATAAATTTCTATTTATCACCATTAAAACTAACTTCAGCACCAACAGCTCCTTATGAAAACTGATAAAGAGAAAAATCCACTGCCACTGAGTCAATTCCAACTCATAGTGACCCCCTTTGAGTTTCCAAGGCAATAAATCTTTGTGGAAGTAGATTGCCCAGTCTTCTTTCTACAGAGTGGCTGGTGGGTTTGAACTGCCAAACTTCTGGTTAGCAGTTGTGGTGGTTAAGTTTGTGTGTCAGTTTGGCTGGGCCTGGTTGAATGACTGGGCAGCTGGATGTAGTATTCCCCATGATGAGACTGGTAATGAACTCCATGGTGGAATCTACTGGAGCAGCTGAGTAGCTGTTTTGGGTATGTGGTCTGCTTCTTGTATACTAAAAATAGCTTTGGGAATGGTCTCTAGCTTATGACACACTTGAACCCTGCATGTAGCTATGTCGTTGTTCAGCAGCCTGCCATGTTCTGCCAAACTTGGGACTTTCAATGGACTTGAATTAATGGCCTGTCATGTGGTTTGGTAACATTGGGACTGTGCCATTTTATTTGTTGACCTTGGGCTTGTTAGCCTCAGCAGCCAGTAGGTGCCTGAGTGAAGAGATGCCTCTAGCTTCAGTGGGCCATGAGCAAGAGGCAGAGCTGAAGCCCAAGGTCAAAGGGCTTTCACCCAGCCCCCTAGAGCCTGGCACTTTGAACTCGGACTTCTAGCCTCCTGAACTGTAAGAGAATAAACTCCTGTTTGTTCAAGCCATCCCATTTGTGGCATAATCTTGTCAGAGCAGCATTAGGTAACCAGAACAGCAGCCAAATGCCTTAGGCACTATGCAACAGAAGTACATCACCGTCCTATCTGAATGGTTTTTCAGGGTAATCAAATAGCCCTGAATGATGAGGAAAAAGTTCTTTATAGAGTCCTGGTTAACAGTTTTGGAAGGAATGACAGGATTATAAATATCATTAACCTAATCCTCACTTACCTACTATCCAATTACTTAACATCATACATTTACAATTATAATAAAAAATCTACTATCCTGACTATTTTGCACATTGATGATCTATGTCTAGCAGTAACAAACAATGAACTGGGAGGCAAGAGTAATGTGGCTGTGATAGCTAAGGTTATATGTCAGCTTGGCTGGGTCATGATTCTAAGTGGTTTGCAGTTATATAATGATATAATCATCCTTTTTGTGATCTGCTGTGGTCCTCTTCTATTTTTGCATAAAGATCTAGTCTTTGGAACCCAACCTGTCAATAAGTGAGTAGTAGGTGTCTTTTGCAAACCTTAACAAAAGATTATATACAGGCAAAAATCATAAATAGATAAAATTATTAAATAAAAGGCTGATGGGAAACTTTACAATGGAAGTATCATGTGGTCACCACCTGAATTCATTGATAAATCTCAGCATGAACAAGAATGAGACAACTAGACATAATGTAGTGGAGTATGGAGAGGTGAAAAGAAATTGGACCTGGGAGTTACTTTAAAATCCTTCAAAACCAGTTAACTACAAAAACAACAAAATAGATGAAGCAACTGTAGCAAAATACTCATAACTATTGAATCTTGGGGTTCATTGTGCATGTTCAGAGTTTTACATAATAGAAAAATTAAAAGTAGTGCATACATACTTGCATTTTTATAAATGAATCAGCTTCCAATAATTTCATTTTAGAGAGAAAGTTAAAGACAAACGGAAAGTCACTGAAAATAACTTCACTGATGTTTTCTTCAGGTACCTAAAATATAAACAGACTTAATATTTTTGATAATTTTAAAAAAAAACCCTTTATTCCTTTACCTCATCACTAAATTCTTTCCCTCTATATTTTTGGAACCTATTCTTAAGAATCCAAATTACATAGAAACAAATTTCTTTAAAATATATTTGTTTTGTTAGTGAAAGATCTTCAGGTTTTCAACAATCATCTAATTTAGCAAATTTGGCATTGTAATGAGAAAATTTTCAGATCTTGATTTATCAAAAGTATACTTACACGGTAATCTAGCCCCTTTAAAATGTGAAAAAATTCAGACGTATAAATATTACTCTTACCAGGTTTTTATTCCGAAAGATTTGTCTCCTTCTATCTGCACAAAAGTTGAGCCAATAGGAGAGTTCATTTATGTTGAAAGCATTTTCAGGCAATCGAGAGTTGGCATTGTTCACCTTAAAGAGAATGTGACCTGTGAATTTTATTTTGTATCAAAACATAATTAATGAATTTTATA